TTTCTTTTTATATGGTTATTGTGAATTCTAAAATCTAAAAAAAATGTACGTGGGTTGTTCAAAAAGTTCCCGAACTTTTTGAATAGCGCACCTCCAGTTTGTTATTTTTTTAATCCGCTTGGAGGAGTTGTGTCCGCGGAAACCCCCGAGTAACCTCCTTCAACCCATTTGTTGATATCTTGTTTTGGTGATTAGCTACTGCCGTTTATGTGAAGGGGTGTTTGTGGGGTTCGGCGAAAAATCGGATCCGCGGAAATCAGCTCTTTGAAAGAACAGCGTTGTTCTGTGAAATTCTGTGTGAAACTCGGAAAATCCTTCACGGAAACTTCCCACGGGTGGGTGAAACAGCCCCCGCCCCAAAAAGCTCGACAAGTTCGCTCAAATGTTAAGGTGATGTTGACTGTTTTTTTTCGATGCAAAGGGGGTTGTGCATCACGAATACCTACCTACAGGCCAGACAGTCAACACGGAGTACTACTTGGTGTTATGAAACGCCTAAGAGACAGAATCAGGCGAAAACGGCCCGAACTTTGGAGGAGCGGCGAGTGGTTTTTTTCATCACGACAACGCGGCGGCTCATTTGTCCCTCCGAATTCGTGAGTTTTTGGCCCCCCTACTCATCTGACTTGACACAAAGAGACTTTTTCCTGTTCTCCAACAAACTAAAAAACGCGCTCAAAGGAAAAACATTTGCCACCATTCCAGAGATAGAAAAAAAAACGACGGTGGAGCTTATGAGCATTACGGAAAAAGCGTTCCAGGACCGTTTCAAAATGTGGAAGTGTATATGCTGCTGAGGAGACTACTTTGAAGGGGATCCCGACAAATAAATTGTATATGAAGTATTTTTTTTTTGTAATAAATAAAGTTCGGGAACTTTTTGAACAACCCTTGTATTCTTATGTTTCTTTTTATTGAAAGTTTTACTTTCAATAAAAAGCAAAACTCCCAATAATTTCGAATATTTTTTATAGCGATAAGAATAATATTAACTATATGTATTCTTAAATCCTGTGAAATATTGTTAAATAATTTTGCTTTTATTTTTTATAAAGCAGCTGCAGTGTCCGTATGAAATTTAATAAATAGTAACAAGATTTATTAATTGAAAGAGCCGGGGGGAGGGGACCCGGAAGAAGAAAATGTCTAGGGCCCCAAAGTGGGTTAATCCGGCCCTGGACACTGGTTGTTTTGTACTATGCCGAACCAGAGTCAAGGCATAGTAACTGAAACAAGACAAAAATTAAATAAGTGAGTCAGTCTGTCTATATTCAGAAATTTCCTAACAATATGATATGTATTCAATATAGTGATATATTGAATACATATCATATTCAATATATCATGTATATGTATACATTACACTACCTTCTGTAGTGTAATGTATGTGTTTCTATTCAATTGTAATGTTCCCAGGTTTTTGTGTAGTGTGTGTGGTATGACACCTGTAGAGGAGAGAATAACAGGTACAATAAGCACCCTATTCATCCTCCACAGATGCCTTATTTCCTGGGCAATACTTGCTGTGTACTATATGTGTACTTGCTGATTTTTTCAGTGATTGTGTTTTGTACATTGTGAGTGTTTAGAATGAATATATGTAGTATGATCCAAAAGTTTGGTGACTTGGCTTAAAATTCTTTATCTTAAAAAGTTTATATTGCCGATGCACAACCACCTTCAAAGTAATCACCTTGGGCAACGATACACTTTTTCCAGCGCTTGTATAACTTCTGGAAGCACTGCTGGAAGCCATTTTTTGAAACCTCCCGTAAGGCCTCCTGCGATGCTGCTCTCGCCTCATCTGATGGCACAAAACGGCATCCCTGCAAATGCTTTTTCATTGATGGAAACAAATAAAAATCACATGGGGCTAAGTCCAGTGAATAGGAGGGGGGCGTGGAAGCACATTAATTTGAGTTTTGGCGAGAAACTGTGTGACCATTTGGGACCAATGTGCAGGTGTGTTGTCATGCAGAAGGTATCAGTCTCCACTTTGCCAGATCTGTGGCTGTTTACGACGAATGGATTCGCTCAAACGACATAAAATGTCTAGATAATGCTCCTTGTTTATTGTTCTGCCTTCGGGAATAAATTCTGAATAAACAATTCCTTGAGAATCAAAAAACACCTCCATCATGACTTTCCCTTTGCTTGGTGCATGTTAAGATCTTCCATTAAAATACGCTGGCAACTAGTCTTTGATAAGTGAGTAGCCGCAGCAATTTTTTCAAGGGTTTGGCAACGATCTTTGCGAATACATTGAGAGACCAACTCAACATTTTTCTCGTTCCGTGAAGTCGAAGGACAGCCAGAGCATTCATCTCGTCTGTGATGGATTCTCGGTCTTCTTTAAAACGCCAATGCCATTTGTACATCTTTGATTTCGCCATGGTAAAATCACTGTACACCTTTCTTAGCAATTTTAAAGTCTCCATAGGTGTTTTACCTAAACGCTGACAAAATTTAATGTTGTAGTGCTGTTCTTGAAACTCCATTTTAACTACATTGCAAAACAAAGGTAACTATCTCCGAAAGAAAACAACAGCGCTCGTGGTTTAATCATGTGACATGGACGAAACCAATCTAAACACATAGGAATGGTTTGATAGAATCAATTTCATATGCTGTAACTTCAAATACATGCTTTTCTTGTCAAACATTACTGCAGTCCTCAAACTTTTGGATCGTACCATGTATATATAATGTATGTGATTTTATTGTGTTTGTTAGTGAGTGTGATGTCCGGTCTGTTGTGGTAAATTGTTTTATCTGTGATTATGGCTCTGTCATAGTACATTTTGTGCATGTTGTTTTCCAATACTGTCTGTGGAATGTATTTGTAGTATGGTTCTTGGATGTCTAATAATTTGTGTTTCTTTGTTAGCTCTTGATGTATTATATTTGTTACTCAATTATGTCTATGTAAATAATCTGTCTGTTCCAAGAGCTTGCAACCAGAACTGATGTGTTGTATAGTTTCTGGCATGAGGTGACATTTCTACATCATTCAACCAAGGACGTTTTACTTTGTCTTGCTCATTGAGATATTTTTTAAATTCTTCTTCAGAATCACAGGAGGTCTTTGATGAAGATGATAATTCATGTGTCAACATTTGAGTAGTGTCGTCAGCTATCACCTGTTCTTCGATTCTCAGACCTTCTATTCATATGGCTAATTCAAACAGAGCATTCTTAGTTCTATTTTCCCATTCCTCTGTTATTAAGCATTGAACCATGGGGTCAGGTTCAATATAGATGCCATCTAACAGAATGTCATTGTTTAGTAGATGATTTTCTTTTAACACCATTGTATTTTTGATTCCATTGGCTATGTTACTATCACTTTTAAAATAGTGGAAAATAAGACTCTTCCATTCCTTATAAAACAAACAAGGAGTCAAGTCTACTGCTTGAAATGCTTTTGTCGTGACATATGAATGAAGAAGCAAATTTTAAGTTCCTCTACTTCCATTGAGCTCCAGTTATCATCATGTTTGGATTGGCCATGTCCTTGAGGACAGATTTCAGTTCAAGAAACTAACATGTATAACTCTATCTAGTTGCTTCATCTAAAATTATCTCTTTTCTAGCTCTTCACTTAATTATTTCATTTATTTTTGGCATTCTAGTGGCTACTACAACATTTTGTACATTTTCAATATTACGTCTTGCATGTTCATTTTTCAAGTCATCATGAATTGCCAGTTACAATGTATGAGCTGCACAACTCATATGATGGATCTTAATTAAAAAGCTCAAAAGCAGCATCTTCAAACTTGTCTAAAGAATTAGTAATACTTCTATCATCCCATTTATCAGTATCATCTACTGCCTCCATAGAATTTATTTTTTCAACAGTATTCAGCACATTATTTGCAATGTCTGTCACAATTGCTACAATTTGTTCTATTTTAATATTGAATTCCTCTAAAACATCCAGCACTATTTTTTAATGCTGTTGCTCATGTGTTGGGATTTAATGTCTTTTATTGCCAAAGTGCATGACAACATCCTTTTGATTATTTATAAATTGTACATTAATGGCTAAGTAATTTATTTGGTGGAGTGTATAGGCATCTATTTTCTGAAAAACAAATTTTCCGTGTAAGAGATTCTTCAGTATAGTTTTCTCTTTGTTAGCATCCTCCAGTACTAGATTCTGAATACTGCTTCTTTCCAATGATACTCCAAGTTTACTGGCCATTTCTCCATTCAGTCTAATAAAAGCTGAACTGGAGAAAAAAGTGGGAGGGCACAGAATTTTTAAAAACAATTTCACTAATGCAGCTCTTAAATTTTTCAGCAATCATAGAGACAGTAACTTTATTTCTAGCAAAATAATTACTTATGATTGTCACTTTTCTTTCTTCTGCTGTTATCATTGTTGATGATGATCTTTAGCAAATTAGGATGATGGCATTGTATATGACATTTCATGTTTGATCCACTACTTGGCACATTAGTTCCTTTTCCAGAGTAAGCAGAAAGATTTTGGCCACAGATTTCACTATCACCACTCTCATGACATACAAAAAATAATTTGTCCTCACTTATTGTGAAATATTCATAAATTGAGGATTTTTTTCTTTGAGTCCTGATTCATCAGAGGTAAGGCTTGTGTTCAATTTTTATTTGCACTGGAAAAAAAAATATTTAAATCTCGTATATTTTTATAATACAGTCAAATCATGTCTATAATGGAATCTGTATATAGTGAAAACCTGTCATTAATGAAAAATTTCTTTGGTCCCTTGAACTTTTTGCAAAAAGTAATGTAAATTAACCTGTATATAGTGGAACCTGTCCAGCAAGAAACAGAAAGGAAAATTGGGCTCTATAATGGAAAAATTGATATCTTTATCTGATTTAACACAAATTTAACAAGAAGTTTACAAGTCTAGCATATATAAATCATAAAAAAGTAAAAACAATAAAACACATCAATCTGACCAAATTGCTTCAGTGCAATCCAGTCACTGACACCAAGCTGAAAAATCTTGCCAGCAGATAAATTCATTGATTTTTTTTATGTCCACTTCATCATCCATACTGGCCCTGCTACACAATTATAAAACTCTACAAGCCCAATTCTTTGCTTGCATTTTTACAGAGGTTCTGTAATGTCAATATGATATAATACTATAATTTTCAGATATGATCACTGTGTTTTTACTCATAGTGTTAATTTTTTGAACTTAAATTTTCCATAAACTTGATTCCCATGGCTTCAGTAACACAAATCAAAAATTTCTTGTAAATTTCATTCGTTTTAATTGTAGACTGCTCTAAATGAGCAACCTTATTTTATGGACATCTGTACATACAATATTATTAATATAACTACATTATATAAATATTAAAATATCGATTATAATGCAAATAAAATATAACGATATATCTGTGTACAAATTACATTCTACTAAATTTAATTCTAATAAGAATTTTGTTTTATATTCATATATGTATAATACTAATAACTCTTCAATATATTTAATATAAAAATATCATACGAAAAATTGAATAATAATTACTTTAAGAGTAGCTATTTGTTCTTCAGATGCTTTTTTCAAAGCAGTAACAATCATCCAAGAACATTTTCCATCTGCAATATCTGTACCTTGCTTACCCGTAATCACTTGATCACCATAACAATCAAGATAATCATCCTATACAAAAACAAAAATTAAGAATTTTATTTAAACATACTCAAAATTATAGAAATAATCATTAAAACATATTTTAAAATCAAATGATCCTTAAAATTAAATGAAATATTTAACATTAATGGTTTTTCATTATTTAAATATCCATTAATTAAATTCATCTTAAATTAATTATATATTACAAATAAAATATTTTAAAATTCAATTTACAGTTTTCTATGCATTTTATAAAATTTCTAAAACTGATTTTTAATCAAAGAAATAATAAATGAAACAATAAGTTAAATTTGTTCTTTAATTTAATGTAAATACAGATCTCATTCTTAAATACAAATTTACGATATATGAATATAAACATTAAAAATCAAAGTATTTGATTTAAAATTCACCCAACAAATAGAAAGATTATATTATTTAGTTAAAGGAAATTAGCAAAGTTTGTTTTAATCTGCCTTCAATTTTATTTATGGGTGGCATCTAATACTTTGAATGACTAACTTCAAATGCTAAATTTGACAAAAAGTTGTTTTGAAGTTTGAATTGTACTCCAATGTCTGAGCACACAGTATAAAAATGCATTCAAAGCATAAATGCAATCTGTTGTGCACCCAAGTCATCTCTCACTCTTGCATTACACTCATATGTTTTCAGTGCTTTTTTCACTTTATTTTTGGTGTGTTTGGTTATATACAGAGAGGTGCAAACATAGATACACAGTTGAGAATCTGATAAATACAAATGTTTGGTGTTCATTATTATTATTTTTATCACCTTTTATTAGTTCCTATTCCTTATTTGTGATTTAATTTGTACATAAATAATAAATGTTTTTTCTTCCTATTTTCTCCCTGTATGCTTTTTTCCATAATAAATGTATACCTACTTTTGCACCCCCCTGTATATCGTATGTTATTCATTGATTTTTAACAATTTCTTTTGGAAATTTTCTTCATCTACAGCTTTTGGGCACACAATACATTTTGTATCCTTTAGTTCAAAATTTCCTGAATGGAACTTTTTAAACAATATTTGACATGTTCAAAGTTCATGAGCATTTTCCTCATGCATATTATGAATTTTTTTCTACTGTTTGTATGCTGTTATCTTTCTGAAACTCGAAGCATGATGTGCCAATATGCTTTTCATCTGAAAACATTTCAACTTGATTTTATTCAGGAAAAATCCAGCAACAAATAGTGTAACTTTCCTGGCTGTTATGAGATTTTATTTAAAAAAATAATTTTTATATTTTTAATTACAATATAATAAATAAAATTGTATGTGGCACCATTTGTTATGAGATTTTGTTATGAAAACTTTGTATATTTTTAATTATCAAATAGTAAAAAACCTAATTTTGAGGGTAATGATCAGTTTCATAAAGCATTGTAAATACTATTAACATATAACATCATTAAATTCAATCCCACTTGATATATGACGCATGACCACCCCTCTATCTCCACATCCCCTCAACCTTTCACCTCCAAAATTTAATAGAATCAATACCCCTTATACACAAGCTGCTGTGCCAAATTTTATTTCATAAATTTCACCCCATCCTGAGATATTAAACAAAATAGATGCCCACACATACACACACACTTTGACCTTTTTTGGATTCAGACAGTCTTAAAACGTGGAGATTTGCAAAAAAAAGCTCAGAGGGTCAAATCTGACATGTTTCTAATACTTTCCCTTGCTAAGTATACATAACAGCCAGGAAAGTAAAATGTGAAGTAAAACATTTAAAATAAGCTTCCAAACAAAGAACATAATCTCACATTAGCAATAATGTGAGATTATATTCTTTTATTTTTTAAACAAGTTGGGAAACCTGCTTAGTAAGACAAAATATATAATTAATTTTATCACTTGAACCCTGTTACAAGTGTTTGTTTGGAAAGTGAAATTTAACACATTATATTCTTAATAATGTGTTAAATTTCATTACTGTTATAATTAAATCACACATCAAAGTTAAGTAACATCAGCTGTTAGAAATATGGAAAAACTTTTTGCTTAACCCAAATATAACCTAGTTTCTTTAGAAAAAATGTTTGTCCTTATTTTCCACTGGAGAAAATATTTAAAAAAGAATGGAAACTATGTACAAAAATAGCTTAGACTATGTATTTCAAATGGCTAATTTAACTTTTTATCGTAATTTATTAATAGGTTGTTATAAAAGATTATATCTTACTTTTGTGACATGCTTCATAGAAACAAACAAATATAGAACAGAAACAAAATTATTATTAACAATCAAGATTTTCATAATTCTAATAATAATTATATTAATCCAGTAATTAGACTTAACAATTTTTGAGCTATAAGCATGATTAAGCTAACAAATTTGACTTAAAGTGGATAAGCTTTCTCTTGTGTATTAATATTAATTAGAAGACTCTAGAAGAAAAGAAAGATCAACCTTGAGCAAAAATCAACCTACAACTTATAAACATTTAGGTTAAGTAAACTTAAATTAATTTACTTATATTAAATGAACAGAAACAAAGAAATAGGTTTATTTTAATCAATTTTGTTAATTTAAATCTCTCTGTAATCTGCAATACATATCTGTATAACAGTTATTTTCTGTTTTTATATAAATCAATTCATCCTTTTATTTTTTCAACTAAAGAATTTCAATAAAGTTCAAAAAAATGAAAAATATCTATTGATGTGAAAAAATATGAAATTATTGAATTTATTGCTTTTTCATTTTAGATTAGATTAACTTTTTATAAACTTACTTGAACTTGAAAGAACTGGCCCATCTTCAATAAAATCTGCTCTGCATTCCTATGGTCAGTTTCATTTGTTTTACCTGCCTTTATTAAAACAGTTTTAGAATATTATTAACATTTTTTTAAACTTGCTAGTTTTTTAAAAAAGAAAAAAAAGTCTATTTGATAGTTTTTATATAATTAGGAAGAATAGTCAACATAAGTCATTTTAAAGAATACTAAGGGACAAAAATGAAAAACTCCTTTGTAATGTAATGTAGACTTAATGTTTTTAGTCTAGCTTGGAATATCTTTTAAATATATGTAATATACTGTAAAATTTACAAAAACTGCAATAGTTAATCACTTGTATGTAGTAATATTATTAGTTAATCATCTTATTAAAAGTGATTATAATCCTCATGTTTAAAAAGTTAAGTTTTGGTGCTGTTCTTTTCACAATTCAATGTAATTATTAGTTTAAAACAATTTCATCCCAAATATTATTGATTTGAGTTGTAAAGTAAAACCTTCCAATATGGAACATTTTCTAAGACTAATTTCTTCAAAGTCAAGTAATCTTTAGATGAACATTTTTCAAAATATTTATACTTCCTTTTCAAATCTCCAAAATGTCTGCAGGTCTGAATAAGCATACATAGTTTCAAAACATTAACCTAAGTAATATATGACTGTAATATATGTAATATATAACTAAGTAATATATATAATAAGTAATATATAACTAAGTAATATATATAATAAGTAATATATAACTAAGTAATATATATAATAAGTAATATATAACTAAGTAATATATATAATAAGTAATATATAACTAAGTAATATATATAATAAGTAATATATAACTAAGTAATATATATAATAAGTAATATATAACTAAGTAATATATATAATAAGTAATATATAACTAAGTAATATATATAATAAGTAATATATAACTAAGTAATATATATAATAAGTAATATATAACTAAGTAATATATATAATAAGTAATATATAACTAAGTAATATATATAATAAGTAATATATAACTAAGTAAGTATGTATAATTAAGTATAACTAAGTAAGTATAATATATATAACTAAGTAATATATGACTAAGTAATATATATGAAATCAAATATTTAATAAAGAAGCAGTAAAAAAACTGTATTATTGTTTTTATCAGAAATAAATTTTAATTTAGAATGTTTTCAAACAAATTATTTATACTCTTTAAAATCCTTTATCAAAATCCTTTACAGTGGTATCTCAGAACTTGAACGTCTGAAAGGTTGAAAAACTTCGAATCTGAACATTTTTTTTGAGGAAATTTTGCTCTAAAAGTCAAACTTTTCTTAGAACTTGAACACAAACAAATATGACATATATTGTATCATTTCTGTATGGGTACACTTAATGCAATAGTGTTGCCAGATTTGGTTTATTTTTATTTTGGACTACTTACAGCTTGCTACTTTTTGGATTACAAACAATGAAAATTCATTACTTTTCTAAATCCATTCATGCAAGTTTTAGACACTCATTGAATAAGCCTAGCCATATTCAGTTCATCTCCTGCTTCTGTTCCAAAAGCATCCTCACATAACTTGATTTTTTACTTGCTGTGCTTTTGATGGCTTTTGTTTTATTTACACTCCTGTGCATTCACCATGGTGTCTAAGAAAAGAGTTGAGGCTATGAAACCTCAGAGAAAACTTAAAAGAACAATGATTGAGGTAAAAAAAAACTCTTAAACCAGAAAAGACCACCTTCCTCACCTTTTCCAGCAAATTTTTACCACAACACATATGTTTTTGGCCTTCTTTGGTAATCTGCCTCAAGTTGAATGAAAAAATGAAATGACAAACCTGAGCATTCCAAATGATAACATTCTATAGCTTCAAATGATGTTTTAACTTAAAACATTTTTTTTTGTAACTGACTTTTTTTAAATTGTAATTACTGTACATCACAAATAAATATCATAAAAATTGTATACATAAATTAAATTGTAGTAAATATTAACCATTATAAGGAAATTAATAATACATGCAGTATCATATCAATTTTATTTAATTTCATATAATTCAAAATTTAAAAAAATGAAGTGAAAAAGAATTTATTGCTACTGTATTTCTAATTTCTATTATAAATAATGTAATAAAGTAACTTATGATGGAAATAGAAATTACAAATAACTAATGAAAAATTTATCTGATCTTTTAATTTGTGAATTAAAGTTAGTTAATAAATATAATTTTTACCACATTTATTGTATTAAAATTAAATGAAATTATGTTAAATTATCTCAGAAAACTTTTAAAATAAATATTCAACAAATTAAACTTGTAACATGTTTAAAATAAATTGGCTTCCTCAAATAATCTGTTTAAAGTTATTTAACAATGTTTTTAGTCATTATTTAGGCCATAATCAGCTTACAATTTTACTTTGAATGGACTGGAACAAAATTTATGAGATTTTTAAAAAAGTCCAGTTCATTTGTATTATTAAATACCATGTTTTAGTAAATCATTTAATTAAGGAAAGCTACTTTCAATAATTCATTAATGAATTAGAAATTCAACATTTCTATTCTCTTAAATATTTTTATGTGATATTTTATTTATATTTATATCTGTTTAATTATAACTGTTAATAAAACTTTTATGCATTAATGATTAAATACTATATAAAATCAGATTTGACTTACCAAATATAATGCTAATTTTATAGGCAGAACACATGTATAATAAGCTGTTTTGTACATAGTTATAGCTGAATATTTGTCTTCAGTAAAAAATTCAAATTTGGATGACTGATGAGAATATTCAGACATCATATCCAAGCATTGTCCAAAAGAAGTCAATCTAATCATCTGATAGAAAAATGTACTTCTCACCAATTTAAAATAATTTCATTATAAACATAAAAATTTATTAAACATTCATATAAATTTATATGTATTTTTACTTTATTGTTCATTCAATTAGACTAAGCAAATTTATCATCCAAATTTAGTGTGTATGTTTAACTCAATTCATTCAATACATATTTATGCATATAAATTACTATTTGAATAATATTTTCTTTTATTTTAATACAAAGCCCACTCTGAAAGTTTCTGGATATGTGAAAACCATTAGACACAGAAAAACTGTCTGTGATATTTTACTGCCACTGAGCATAAGTTCAACAGTGTACCTGCATCCTTGAAATTTCCTGTTGGGGGAAATGCCTGACCTTGGAAGTGCCACCAAATCTGGATGTTGAAAATGGAGCTGAAGCAGGAGCATTTCCAATCAATGATGATTTACAACTTTAAATCTGGTTTGTCAGAGTCCCAGTGCCTCCATAGTTTGCAAGCAGTTTGATTCTTGTCCATACAGAATGTAAGTATTCTGGTAGTTTGAATAATTTAGATGTGGATCTGCAACTGCAGTGACTCCAGAAAATGTGGTTCATGTTGAGAAACTGTTTAGAGAATATCTCCAAATAACCCATAAGGATATCAAGCACACCTTGGGTATTAAATCAGCAGCAGTGAATGGTATCTTGCACTATCATCTTTACATGTATGACCATGAAAGCAAGAGACAGTCCACAGTTTGTGTCTTCTCCAACAAAGCACCATCTGTTGGACTTTAGGAAGACAGTTAATGCTGAGTGGTATGTCACCATTTGTCTTCCTAAAGTCTTTCAAGAAATGTCCCTACACAAATACCCTAAAACATGTCTTTGTGTACTCTTGCTGCACCATGACAATGCAATGGCACATACAGTAATGAGAATGGTAGACTACTTGAGCAGTTCTGGGGTGTAGTTGGTCATCCATTTACCTTATAGTCCAGATTTAGCACCCTATGACTTCTGTTTCCCAAATCCAAGGAAGTCCTCAAGGGATGTCATTTTAGGAGTCCAGAAAACACAGTTGCTGTATACAGAGACACCTTAACAGACATCGCAGAAGACTGGTGTCAAGGCTTCCAAAGCTGCTTCTGTTGCATTGATGGTGTGTTGAGCATCAGCATGAGTACTTTGATAAGATATGAGGACAGAACAACAAACAGGGTCATTGAATCTGGAAACTTTCAGAGTGACCCTCATATCATATGAAATTGAACACACAGATACTGGTTAGAACAATTAATAATAAAGAAAAGACTATCTTGTCTGCATGGAGAATGTTATTCAAGATTCCCAACCAGCAAAGGATGTAACACACTAATACCCCATAGTTTTGCATATATGTTATTCATATTTATATATTAAATTAAAACATTCCATGCTTCATATTTATTTTTTAAATTTAAAATGTTCTGTTCCAGCTTTTATCTAATGTTCTAATACTATATTCTTTTAAAATCAAACCTGATGATGTCTATTGTATATAAATGAAAACATTTGTTTAAATAAAGGATTTTTAATTTTGCTAGTGTAGTGCATTTCATAATTTCATAACTCTGCTTATTACATGAAATTTCAACCAATTCAATTTTTTTACTTTGATATAATGCATTTAATTGCATTTAACTACAAATCAAAACAATTTTAATATATGGCTGTTGTGATCATATTAAATTTATTTTTATAGTATTATTAAAATCATTAAATATTTTACAAATTCACTGTTTTGGGATTTTTGGGAATTTTTTCAACTTCAAAATACTTTAAATTCCAGATTGGTTTGATTAACACATATTTAAAGTATATACCCTTCATTAAATGTCTTAAAAATTATTGACTAATTCCTAAAAATACAGTGTGTCCAAGAAAGATCTTTATCATTCTAAACATTAATAACAAAAATACTAACAGGTGAAATGAAATGCAGTTTGCTGCAAAAGAATGAAGAAATCTAAGAGTTTTTTCTGGTATCAATTGCCTGAGGTAGATTGCCAGTTGTGAAAAGGACACATACCTTGGCCTCCATGATTGCCCAACATAACTCCACTGGATTTCTTTTTTTGGGGTTATGTTAAAGACAAGGCTTATCAAACACCTGTTTCTGATATCCGTTTTAAAGGAAAGGATACAATTGGCAATCCTCACTGTTACACTGCAAATGTTAAAAAACACTTGGAGGGAAATTGAGTACAGACTCGACATTGTTCGTACTACTAATGGAGCTCACGTACATCTACATTGAAGGTACTGTAAAAAAACTCTTAGATTTCTTCATTCTTTTGCAGCAAACTGCATTTCATTTCACCTTTAATATTTTTTTTTATTAATGTTTAGAATGATAAAGATCTTTCTCAGGCATGCTGTCTTGTCTCAGGCTTTTTCTTGTCATTTATATATGTTATTCATTACTTAACATGGACATATTATTACAGATAACTGAATAAGAAAATGCTAAAAATATTCTTTTTTGTATTTTCTTCAATTTGGGAATATTACATTACCCTTAAATAAAAAGGAAACCTTTTTTCTCATTAAAAACATATTAAGATAATTACTTAAAACAATCAAATCACATAAGTTAGTTATAAAATTATTTAATTAAAATATTTAAAATTATATTCTTAAAATAGGAAAAAAACAAAACCAAACATTTGAAATAAATATTTTTGACTGAAATATGTAAAATAAGAAAAAACTTGTTACTAACCGAATGAAATGTTTCTACAACATTTACATAACAAGGCAAATTTTTAAAATGTTTTTTTAATAGATAAAAAATTCCACTTTCGATCATTATAGCATCATTTATAGCCATCAATCCAATGTTTTCCTAATTAAAAAAAATAACAAAACATTAATTGAATACTATAAAATTTATGCTGAATGAAAGTTATACTCAAAATATCTATTTTGAGTATAACTTAAAAATTTAACTAATATTTATAATTCTTAAAACTGAAATAATGATTTTTACAGTATGATATTTATAATTTTATGAACAAGAATTATACAAAATTATATAAAAATCACAGGAAAAAAATTAACTAAAACAGTAAATAAATTTCAAAATAAATTAATTCAAAAGATAAAATCTAAGTTTACAAAAATCTAATACTTTATTAATTTGCGTAAATTTAATTAGTCATAATTTTAAATTTAAAAAATTAAGTTAAATGTTATTAAATCTCATCTCTTCATTGTTTTTATGTAAACTATAAGATTACTTTATAATTTATAATTTTTTAACCAATTTTAATTAAACATTAACACTAATTTTTCATTCATTTTTTTTCTTGTTTTATGAGTCATAAATTTTTTTTCTTTCCAATTATCATTACCAATAATAATGACAATAAATTTTGTATTCATATAAACATAAAATATTATTCCTTTTAAAATATTGCACCCAAAATGCATAGTAAATAAGTAAATACGATGAATACGAAAATAAGCTTTTGTCTCTGATTAAATGTGGTCCAGGCAAAAAAAACAGTGGTTATTTCTGTAGAATTAACCCATGAAGTTTCATCAATTTTTGAGGAAATATTTTTTTGAAAAATTGATTTTTAAAAGGAATATAAAGAAAACTGCACCATTGATATATACATATCAGCATATCATATACTTATAGCATAAAATATTATTATTTAAACATTAACATTTTCTTTCAACTAAGATGAAACTACCTGAACTGGAACTATTTTATATTATGATTGCTAGTGCTGAACCAAACAATCCGTATTATTCGGTATTCAGCAAAATACCAGACATATGCATTGAATATTTGGACTGACTACATTCTCAAAGCCAAAGCTCAAAGCTTCCTTAAAAATATGTATTTTAATGCATATTTTTGATATATTTAATCAGTAAAAAAAGATTTGGCATATATAATTGGTTTAATCTTTTTACATCTTTAATGTCAAGTTTTGTTAGAAACTACTACATTTCACACATTTTTTTTTTATAAACATTAATGTATTTACATCATGAATTTAAATAGAAATGATAAGTAAAACTTGTGATAAAATTTAAGAGCACTGTTTATCAATGTTAATAAAATTTTAATGAGTAAAACACAAAAAACACAAAATAAGTACAAAATATCTCACAAGTACTTTTGGTATTTATAGAATGTTTTCTTATTTAATGTAAATAAATGTAAATAATAAATTTATATAAATTTATTATTTACATTATATATTATTACATTATATTAATGTAAACAAGCAATTATTTATTGTGACATGGTTACAATGCCAGGCTGCAATTTTTAATCATATTTTTAATGTAGTTAATTTAAAATATGTGCTCTCCATCTCAAATTAGTAGTGGCTTGCCCCTGTACATCATACTTTTCCTTTAACAATAGAGTAGTGCTGGCCATCTAGCTATACCCTACAGGGAAATTTGTAAACTGAAATAACATGACTTCCGGTTTGCATCAAAAAGTATAGTTAATTGGGACCTTCTGCCCCTCAGGTTTCCACATCATATCTAGCCTCATCTTTCATCCATCTAACTCCATTCTCGAGATTAAAGGACAGACAAATGAACAGATGTACAATTTTTTCAAATTGCAGTCCAATAATAAATTTATATTATGTTCTAAAATTTGTTTTCTTTTTATGAATAAAACATTCTATAAATGCCAAAAGTACTTGTGAAATATTTTGTACTTATTTTGTGTTTTACTCTTTAAAATTTTATTAAACTCAAGAGACAGTGCTCTTAAATTTTATCACAAACTATTTTATTTATCGTTTTCATTTAAATTCATAATATAAATACATTAATGTTTATAAAAACAAGTGTGAAATGTAGCAGTATCTAACAAAACTTGACATTAAAGATGTAAAAAGACTAAATTATTATATCTGTCGAACTTTTTATAAATTTATTATTTATACATATACAGTAGAACCTCGATTATCTGGACTAATTGGAGATGAAGGTAGTCCGGATAAGGAAAAATTTGGATAATCGAAACAAATCCTTTAATTTGTCTTTTAATGATAATACAACACATTTTCTTTTCGATGACATATTGGTAATATTAAAAATAAATACTGTATTTAAATTGTGATCAAATTTTCAAGAAACAAACATTCGTATTGAATTTGGACTATTACTAACCAGTGCTAACAGACTACCTATTGTTTAGAAGGCCCTCCGGTGGCACAAGAAGACGGATTTTATAAAATAAAAAGCAGTTGAAACTGCATTTTTATGAATAAAAATTTGACAAACTATTTATTGTTTTATGACGAACAAAACTTTTTTGTCACATTTGCAGCTTTTAAGTAATGCATAAACCTTCGAGGCGCTTCGGACCGCGAGGCATAGGTGGTGGCCCATGTTGCCCATATACCGCCCTTGGTCATAGAAATGATGTAATTTGAATATAAATTATTTATAAATACGTATATCAAGTTATATTTTTATTATGACGCAAAATATATTTAAAAATTTACTGTGCTGGGTGAGACATTGTTGAAACAAAAAAGTTATGCATTCCATCACGTACATAAACAGTATCGTAATTTGCCAAGTGCAAATCAGCAATTTTTGTTTATTTTGAAAAATCCGGATAATCGAAAATCCGGATAATAGAGGTTCTACTGTATATAATAAAATGGTTGTCTGTCTGTCCTCTATACACTTTTCACCAATATGCACCTGTATGAAAAAGGAAATTTAAACTGGAAAATAATTCAAAACTATCATGCAAACAACCTTTTCATTCTCCAGTACACTTATTTAACGATTGGTTTATTTATTCGTCTCCATACACCAGAATGTAATAAAAATAACTCTTTACTTTTAACCTTGTAACCAGAGTGGTTGTGTTATATGTCAGCAAACGTTTTCGACGCCTCCTTCTGGGCTCTTCCTCAGGCTTTTTCTATAAATACTAAGCCGGACGTTGAGAATCGAATACCTTCTTTTGAGCCATTTAGCCGCATGCGATGATTCGAGTGATAAACAGCTCAAAAGAAGGTATTCGATTCTCAACGTCTGGCTTAGTATTTATAGAAAAAGTCCAAGGAAGAGCCCAGAAGGGGCATCGAAAATGTTCGCTGACATATAACACAACACTACAGTTACAAGGTTACAAGGTTAAAAGTAAGAGTGATTGGATTATTTAAATTAATTTGTAAAGCAGTTTGAAAACATTTGTCCAATTCTTAAATAAGTATGCTGGAAAGTGAAAAGATTGTTTGCATATTTATGCATCCATATTTTTATATAGAAACCTTATAGAAAAAATACAAATCAAATATTGGTTGCATTGGAATGGAACAAAAATTTTTAAAACATTCTATAATAAATATGCAATGTGGAAATTATTTTAAGAATATTTCAAACATTACCTATATAAAATGCTTCAGCTGAACAATCTTTTTCCTGTCTAAAGAGAATTAAAAATTATGTAAGAATCAAAATGAACAAGAACCAGTTACATTCCATAACAATTCTCTATATTGAATATGAATGATATCATACAATCAACTGTGATGACTTTATTGAAAAATTCACAAAAGTCTCAAAAAAGCATATTTAAACTTGATTTTTTATTTATGAATGAAAAGAATGTTTAAAGAAAATTAAAATAAATGTATTTATAAAATAATGTAATGTAACTAAATCTAATAATTGTGATCTAAATGTAATGATAATAAAAATGTAAATTAAATCATTATTGTCATTATTTTTTTCATTACGGGCCTTAATTTAATAAGTAATTAATAAGTGAATTCTTTAAATAAAAATCACTGTGTATACAGTAGACCCCACCTTATAACACTGTTGATAATTCCATTTTATATGAATTCCATGTTGTACAAGTCACTTAGATTTTACAAATACATGTGCCGGGTTGCGAACGGCTCACATATTTGTAAAATCTAAGTGACTCGTACAATGTGGAATTCATATAAAACGGAATTATCAACAGTGTTATAGGGGGGTCTACTGTATTGAGAAAGTTATCAAATTAAATTAGTTTAATAAAATAGGGGCCCTTTCAAATTTTACCATCCAGAAGCCCAGAGTAAGGTAATCTGCCACTACATACTAGTATTAAAGTTTCAATACATGACTCCAAATGGGGAATGGTAACTAAGGATTTTATAAGATTAGTTGTAGATTTAGTTAAATTTAGACTAAAAATATAATAATTAATAGGTCAACATATGTGATGTAATAAAATCATAAAGATCTTTGATACCAACATCTGTGAAACTAAATATCCCACTGTGTTGCATAATATGTTGTCAAGATGTTCACAGTGCAATCGTAAAGCTGTTGACAGCTGTGCACAGTTTTAAACATTTTGTTAATAGTTTATAATTTTAATGTTTTGTAAGTGTGAGTCTTGTAATAATACCTTTAAGATAATTTTATGCCTTATATTTTATAAATGTTATTCACCTAACTGAAGACAGCCATTAACACCACAAGCAGAAATGCATTTTAAGGATATATAAGGCAAAAAATAGTTTCGTATGTGTGATAACCCTTTCATTGTAATAATATTCTATATATGTGTAATAAAGTATATTTGTATTAAATATCTTAAAAAAAGGGATTAAAGGCTTATTGTTAATAAAATTTTTGCTGAAGTTTTCTGGACATCTGACCTTAACTGAAAATGATTCTGACCAAAAATATGGCTAAATCATTTGCAATAATTTACAATCTAGTCTTTATTGCTATAAGGAAATTTATAAATGGAAATTAAAAAATATTCTTTTATTCTTTATTCTTAAAGAAAACATTAAAATAACAAAGAAAATAGCTATGGAGGGAAAAATATATAGGTAAAAAACATTTATAAATAAGATTTATATTTCATCCAATTTTTGTTTGATTTTATTACATTTTTCAATTAAATAAATTAAATGCTATTTATACCTATCATGTTTCAGCTCTAGCCAATGTAACAACACAATAATGTGCATTAATTTATTTTAAATTAAAAACACATTAAAAGTAAGCAAGACATTGGCTTTTTTTCAGCAATTTATCACACAAGGAACACTTATTTATATAGGCTTTATTAATGGAGGAAATTCATTTTGAGTCTTAATAAGACACAAAAGTGAGTCTTAATAAGACACAAAATGAATTTCCTCCATTAATAAAGCCTGTATCAATAAGTTTCCTTGTGTGATAAGTTACTGAAAAAAAAAAGCCAAAAACTTTAGGTTTTTGGCTTTTTTTCAGTAGTACAGCAGTTCAGTAGTGACAGCTTAACAGTTTGGAATCAAACTGTTAAGCTGTCACTTAGAAATTGGACTGATTCAAAAATGATACCTAACAACATATTTGATCATAATGTTTAAACAATATTTCATACGTTCCGAAATTTTGGCAAAATTTTTATGCTTTAGTCTACTGAAAAAGATCTAAATGAAGATGAAAAAAAATTCCCCAAGTTTTCTCGGTCAATACAAAATCCCCAATCTAGGAACAATAAACAGCCTTGCATGAAAACTGCCTTTGGTTCTCAACATCACTTCCTGCTTTCCTATCTGAACTTGCCATGTGATGTTACAACATCACTAAGTGTGTGGTGCACTGGACTCCCACACAGGAGCTTTGACATTCTGCTGTTTTCCTGAAGTGTGCTTTGTGATTCAATTTCATGCTAAATGTCTAAATAAGAGGATTAGGGTTTTTTATTGCCAATATTATATATTTATTGCCACTTTAATAAAAATATCACCAAGTGATGATTTTGGCACTATACAACACAACCTCTAACAATTAATATCATTAAAATTTTCAATTAAAATCTTGAATTTGCTTTATTTCATTTCATTTTTTAACAAAACAATGTTCAGATTAAAAAAAATAGGCTAATTATAATTTGTTTCAGTTGTAGAAAGTATCTTAACATATCCATTACTTATAAAAATAAATTTTTGTAGTTTTTGATTTCAATTAATATCAAGTTTTCAAGAATGTAATCATAAAATTAAATAAGGGTGGCTGTAGTTTCATTTTTTATTTCTTATGCAAATTTTATGACAAATACATAAGAGAATTAATTAATTTAAACTTATGCTGTATTATGCTAAATATTATAGAAGCAAAACTATGCTTTAATGGAAGTTATACAATCAAATAATTTAAATAATAATTTAGAGCTAGGACCATTCTTCAAATATTATATAAAAATATAATTCAAAAATTGATTATTATTACTACTACTACAAAAAAATTTTCATAAGTACTCAAATGAGACTGTTTTTATTGTATAATCTCTTAACACCAAATTCTGTACACTCAAACAGGACAATAACTATAAATATTTCAGTAACCTTACATTCAACCAACAGGGTAACAACAAAGCAATTCAAATATTTTCAGCTTACACTGAGGGCTGAAAACGTTTTAGAATTTGGTTGTTCCTAAGAAAGGCCTTTGGAGTAGGCTGAAAATGCCTGAACTGTTTTGTTATTACCCTGTTGAATTGGATGAAAGGTTACTGAAAGCATAGTTTTAGTTTCATATTTGTTGAGTTCTCTCAAATTACATAGTGAGAAAGACTGGGGGAATCCCAGATACAACTTAAATTTTAGTATGTATCATGAAATTAGAGAAAACTTATTAGTATGTATCATGCATTAGAGAAAACTTAGATCTTTTTAATTGATAATCTGATCATATCGTATGTGACATAAAAATTTTAATCATTTTTCCCAAAAAATAAAACATTAGATAACTGTGCATTGTCCCAGTATTCTTCTGTGGTGCAGGATAATAACTGATTGCATTTGGGGCAATTATGGACAGCTAGAAAGTGGCCAAAATTTTGCAGATAAAGGAAGTAAAGAAATGGAATATAATTTATTTACACATATTCATTAAAAACTAAAATACAATAAGTTCATTAGTTTATAAAAAATGAAAATGAGCATCTCAAATATTAAATCACAATTTTATGTTGCCACAATCAGAATCTGCAATCTAAACTTGTAGAATATTAAGAAAAAAACAGTATATATAATGTAAATGAACTCTGAGGCTACTCCAGACAGTATAAAATTGTGTCTATGATTGCCCTGAGAAAGTGCCTCAATTTTCCACATTTGATTCTAATCAGCTTTGGAAAGCGACATTATCCAATCTACATTTTGATACATGGCAAATAAATAGCAAATAAAACACATTATTATCTGTATTTATAAAGATATATAAATTCTTAATGTAATACTTATGATAAACTTTCAAAAACAACAAGTTTTCAGCTGCACAAAACATGGATGACAATGTGTGAACATAACAACATATGTCATTACTATGTGGCTGACAGGAATTATGATCTGCCAACCTTCTATATTTTTTACAATATTTCATATCCAGAATTCTCCCAGTCCCCCCTATAGTTAAAAGTTTTATTATTTATTATAGATAGATATTCATTAAGCAACATAACTGTTTTCAATATTACATGATGAAATAATTTTATATAAATAATTTTAAGTTTTAACAAAACAAAAAATCAAAAGATGAAACTTACATTTCTAAACCAGCATGGCTTTCCTCGTCTAGTAAAAGACTGATCCATAATATCATCAAATATTAGGAAATATGCATGCATCTGAAAGTATTTAAAACTATTTTTTATTGTAGAAATATAAAAACTGTAAAAAATTATTTGATGAAAATAAAAATAAACTTTATTTGACATATTAATTTATTATTAATCATAGAAATTTATCAGTATTTTATTTATAAAATACTGATAAATTTCAAAATAACAGAAAGCAATAAGAAAATATTAAGATATGAGCAAAAAGAAGCTATTTTAATAAATTAGCAGCATTTATAAAATTTATGAGTAAAAAAATTATATAAAAAGTTAATGCAAATTCAAATATTGAAATATTTTCTATCCTAACACAAATGACTAGAAATCACTGGAAACTCCACAAGAAGAAAAAAAAAGAAATTTATTAAGTTTCAAAATAATCTTTGTTTTTAAAAACTTTCATAAACTTAAATTTTAATAAACTTTGATAAAATATACCAAAATAACTTTTCTTTGCATTTGTTTCAAACTGAAATAATACAGATTCTCAATAACTCAAAGTAGAAGGGACAGAAAAAAAATTTTCTGAGTTACAGAAACTACAATTATTTTAACAAAATCATAAATATCACAATACAAACAATTTAATTAGATTTAAATGCAATATACAGTGGGTGATAGGTTAACGAACATAATCCATTCCAAGACTTTGTTCGTTATCCTAATTGCTCGTTAACCAATTATTGATTTACTATAGGTTTTTATACGAATTTGATTAATTTGTTCTGGAGATTCCAAAACAAAAAATATATACTTTTTTACTACATTTATTTATATATAATAGTAAAAATACATATATATGCAGTCTTGCATTTTTATTAGTCATATTTTTTCCATTTGTGGGGATTAAAGAATCTGTCCAATGTCAATTGCTTTTCTCTTTTCTTCAGGATGTTTCGGAAGTAATTAATAGTATTGTAATTGTAGAGATCCCCAACTCCATTAACCTTATTCTGGTTTGGATGCCACTTGGATGATCATTGTTCTTACATCCTCCCACTTCTTCAAAAGATCTTTAGTAGCAGATGTCAACATGGTCCTCTTTCGTCTTCCTCTTTTTCAAAAGAAAAAACATCTCACTGAGTTTCTTGGTGTTGTTCATTTGAGAGTTCTTGGAGTTCTTCTGTCGTCAGATCAGTTTCAGATTCCATTATTAGCTCTAAAATGCTCTTTATTTCTCAGATGTGATTTTCATTATTCCATTAGCAGCTTGAGACTTCTTGATATATCTTTCATAGCTAAGATTGTGCCTACTGTAGATTTGTTCAAGCCATACTGCCTAACAACATCAGACATCTTGTGCCCACTTTCTACCTTGGCTATATCTCTTACTTGGTTTCTACGATGAGCACAGTTCTTGATACTCCTCTTTTTAGGCTCCATAATATTATCAGTTTCTTTTTTAAATAAAAAGTTCAGAAAAGCACTTACAAAAATTCAGAGAACAGAAATCAACTAGCCCACAAAAAGTTATTTAAATACAAGGCCTGGATACAATTTGAAATTTGGTATTAAAATGTTAACGAATATCCAATGGGACAGTTAAACTTTCACCTTTCGTAAATAAACCCCGATGCAAAACTTAACAAGTGCCCATCCGACAGTCTTGCGAAGACTATAAAAAATTATTTGTCAGAAAGGTAAACAAAAGCTGGAATTACAAGGGAGAGTTTCAAAATTCGGAGGAATATCATCTGATTGGTATTGGGTTGACGTCTCCTGCGCTCCAAAAGGTTTAGAATTGTTACCTGAAGATAAGGGAAATCAATCAGTATTTGTTACTTTCCGTCGCTTCATTTTATGTTTGTTCAGTAAAGTATTCGTTATCCAAACATGTGTTTGTTGTCCGATCATAAAAATCTTTTGCAAAAGTGTTTGGATAGCGAAAAAATCAGATAACAAACTGTTCGTTAACCGATCATCCACTGTATTTTATTATTTCTTAGTTATCTATAAGTAAACACTAACAAAAAACTAACAAAAATTAACTTGAAAAAATTTGTTACATGAGTTTCTTGGTTATGATTCATTGTTTCTTGTTAAACAATATTTTTGATGAAGTCACCTGTCTCAAAAGCATCTTACGTATTTTATGAATGATGTAATTTGCAGAAAGTCCCTTAAAAGGTCAAAACTTTTCTGACTTCCCTACATATAGGAAGAGCAGAGTATTTCCTTGACAAGATTTTTTTCTTCTTCATCTTCATCGCTTGTTTCTTGTGCTTAGTTCTTTACATCAAAAAAATGTTCACAGATAGCTATGTCATTTCAATGTTGACAAAATCTTCAAATGACACTTCATCACTCATTGCTGTAATGAGATTGACCCTAGTCCTTTTTGATATAGTTGAAATACGAATAAAATCCCAATTTATTCAGTGTCAACAAATTCTTAATTGAAACCTGATTTTGTAAAGAAATATGTAGTAGTGCATTATGAAACTTTATTTCCAACTTTGTTAATCGTCTGCATTTCATTTAGCAGAGTCATTCCAAAATCATGTAATCCATCCATGGGCATAAATCATGCAGACCCTACAATGTTTGGGGTCCACAACTAGAAAAAATGTCCCAACTGTTGCTCAAATTATTTAGCTTCTTCTCTAAGAAGTTTCCATCCACAGGAATATTCTCAAAAGATATTGAAAAACTGGATGAGATTATAATAAAAGCATATACTAATGCCTGTAATCCAGTTAAAAGAATTAAAGGAACCAATCTATACTAATATTATAAAGAGGTAATGTTTGTATGTAAGTTTGTTTGCAGCAGGTAATCTCCGAAATTACTCATCCGATTTCAAAAATTCTTTCACCAATATTTAGAATGGAACTTCAGGGTGGACATAGGTTTTATATTATTCCATTAAACATTCATATAAATTAAATTATATCATCTAGGGTTAAGGCTTTTATGTCCAACAGATGGCGCTACGAGTACGACGCCCTAAGTTTGCTTTTCTGTGAGGCATTATGCTTTTCTGTGAAAATGAACTAAAGCAGATCATCTTCTATCTATCTATATAAATAAAAATGTAATGTTCGTTTGTTCCTACCGATTCCTTTGAAATTTTGACACAACTCTGCATTCGAATACGCACGTGTTTTTATATAATATACATGTCGAAATTCAACCCCACTGAAGGGAGATGGTTAGGATTAAGACTTACCATAAAGAACTCTGCTTCTATTTATACTATTTTAGATGCGGGTTTTTGTGTTTTAATAGGGTACGTCAAGAGAATGTACACTAAGAAGAAATTTTTCGATATTCCCCCCGCGCGGGAGAGAGACAGGATAAAGGCTTACCGTGAAGAACTTGGCTTCTATTATACTATTTTAGATATGGGTTTTTGCGTTTTTGATTGCGTTTTAATAAGGTACGTCAAGAGAATGTACACTAAAAAGAAATTTTTCGAAAAATTCCCCCATGGGGGAAGTGTTATAAATTTATAATAGATACATTTTGAGCCACAACAACGCGTGGCGGGGTCTGCTAGTTTATTATAAAAAAAAACATTTTCAATTATCTTGCTTGGGTGATGATAGTGAGGAGAAAAACATGTAACTCAAAAAAAAAAACATGGTTGAATCCTAATCGATGGAAAAAGCAATCAAAAGTCACAAATTGTGAAATAAACAGTAGCTTGAATATTTAAGTTTCATAAATGTTGGAGTAAGGCTTTTGAACTGGTGACAACTTGCAGAAAGTCCTGTAGTTTGTTGGCAATGAACTTATTGTGAATTCTTTCCACTAAAACTGGGGTTGATGAAGATTTGTCAACAACCAGTCTAAGCTGAGTGCCTCCTTATGAATGATCCTACTGCCCCAAGAATTTTTGCCTTTGTGAAGAGCCACAAGGGCACTCAGCTTAGATCAGATATGTTGACATTTTAATTATTTGGAACCACAAACCCCCGTCCCAAGAATTCCTGACAACCATCAACAATATATCAATTCATATAGTTTACTGCTCCACTCTGAACAGAAGAGCATCTTCCAAGTATACTTTCTGTATATCCTTATCACAATGCCTAATAAATCTCTCACTACCAATGTGTACAGAAATAACACATACAACCCATTATTTATTCCACCAAAGTTACATCATAATCCATTCACTTATAAGATAGCAGTGTTTAGAGCACTTAAAAAAAAAGAGCATATGTTTATTGTTCTGATGCACATTGTAGGAACAAAGAGTTCTAACATATTAACCACATTGTCACTGCCCTAGACTACTTGACAAATCTTATCAAGGGTCTCATCTGACTTTATCATACACCTGTCAATTCTACACAGAACATCAGGCCCCAAATTGAGTTCAAACCTAACAAGATTTATAAAAATTTGTAATAAATGATTAATGCAACATGGAGACAAAAACAATTCTGCAAGATGTTCAGTTTACATGCATCGAGTTGGCGACACCAGACTGACACCATCACTCATATACAATAGCTAGAAGAGAACTTGATTGGAAAAGGAAAAGGTTTGACAAACAAAAAAGCATAGAAAAAGTATTAACATTCTAGAACATCATAAAAGGAAATAACAAGTAAAAATATGAGCGCAGGTGTCTTAGTTCTATAGGTAATCCAGCCAGAGTTGAGGGATGATGTTGGATAAACTATCCCAGGCAGACCTTTCTCACAACCTAAACTGGTCTCAATTTCCACCTGGAGACAATAGGGAGATCAATCAGAAAGTGGGGAAAGGAAAGCCCAGTCAATCAAAAAAAGAATTAGAAAGAAACAGTCATTGGAGGCACATAATCATTTCCTTGTTTTTCAGATATGTAGAGAGAGTACTCAATGGAATGTTAAATTCTTTTCAATCTTTCATTTTTCTACTTGCTTACTTTTAAGTTCTTTCATTTTTTATTTCATTTCAATTCTTTTCATTTGTCATAAAGATTGCTTACGCAATCTTTATGACAAATACTTTTCTGTTATCAATGAAACCTTTAGATTTTTTCATGTTTTCCATTTCTATCTAAATTAAAATGAAAATGATCAACACACTGATTTCATCATTAATTGTGATGCTAAATATCAAAATGCAATTCAAAGTTTACAGTGAACTTTATATGTTATGAATGTTTAGTTCCAAATAAGAAGTTATATACACACAAACTTTAAATTGCTAAATTTTAAATTTTAAAAAACTAAACATTTAAAAAACAATAATTTTAAGTGCTAAGATATGATTGGTCAATTTGTATTTAAGAAATAAGATTGTTATTTTAGATGCAAAATGTCATTGAAATTTTGGATTTTGTGTTGTGCAATCAGAGATGTAATTCTATACAATACAGATACAGATCTACTTTGTGATAATTTTATCCATCTCTTTGAAAACACCAAAAAAAGCACATAAAATTAGACAAAGTAAAGTTTCTTAATCTTTTAAGTTTAAGTTAACAAAAATATGATCTCAAAGCTATTTCAACTTACAGAAACACAATGCATTGAGTCTATGGAAGTGAGGACAAAAATAAAATTCAAGTTAACAACAATTTTAATTTAAGGAGTTCAACTTATCAAGAGTCTACTGTATATATAGCCATGTATTACAATTCAATAATAGTCAAACCTAATGGTATTCTCACATGACACATAAATACTACATAGCAATGTGCTAGAAAGAATACTATAGAATTTGCTTATTATAATCACAAATACTATCATTTGTTTAATGTTATCAGACTTAGCATGTTCCAAAATATATTAGTTAAAATTTACTTATAGAGCTTCAATTATCGTAATCAAAGTTTTGGTTATTGATATCATTATCTTCAATAAATTAGCATTTTCAAGTTATTTGTCATGCTATCTGCTTCAATATGTGGCTGAAAACACACAATCCTTATAGGTTGACATTACAATTTTAATTAATGTGTAATGTGTAAAATCATTTTAATCTTCATTTGCTCACAGCATAGTAGTTTAAATTGCTGAAATTTCTTACTTGCTTTTGTTAAAGAAAGTGTTGCAAAAATAATAGTTGAATACTATAGCATTAGATAAAACTATAAATGAATTAGTATTTTAATGTTGTATTTAATAAAACCATAATATTCACTATTTACAGTCTTAATTACTTATCCTGCTTAATATTAGTAGGAAATGCTAGACCCAAAATTATTACAATAAACAAATCCTACTGTATTAATATTCAGCTCTAAATATTTCTAATAATAATATTTACTGCTGACATTTACATAATCATATTCGTAGAATGTTCTATTAGAATAAAAATAATAATTAAATCATATAATTCTAAGCAAAAATCTTTAAAAAAAGTAATTGTAATTTCTCAAAATTTATACTATAAAATGTACAAAATGAATAATAAATATCTTAACTATAATTACAATAAATTTATTTTTGAATCATAAAATATTTATATTTTTCATATTTATTTAATTATTTTTATATTAATTTACCATTTCCACACACCATCCTAAAATGTTTGCAAGTTTTATACTCTCTTCAACCAAATTTTTGGATTTAACTAATAATTTATATGTAGAAACCAAAGCCAATGCACGATTCTTTTTTCCATGAGGTATATTACATTCCAAAATCTAGAAAAATTCAAAAAATATCTTAGAAAAATATGTAATAAATTTAAATATTTTCAGTCTAATATATATATAAATTCTTAATGTAATNTCACGTCACTTTCGGAATAATCTCGTATCAGCTGTAAATATCACATATTATATGCATCCTCTATTATAATAATCCATGATAAATTACCTAATACAATATTGTATTAATGTAAGACGGTATGTAATGCCGAATATTTATACATTAAAATTGACAGTATGAATATATATATATATATATATATCTTAATCACATGGAACTCATAACCCAACATCCATAACATTCTGAAAATATCTAACGACAATCTATATGGGCTCACAACAAAATTGGATCAACATAGCAACAGGGAAGCTCACTTCTTAGATGTAAAAATAATCCAGGATAACGGAGTGCATAATTGTATATTCCACAAACCTTCATATGCCCCCAATTTTATTCATGCCGCATCCTGTGATCTGCCTAAATACAAGATTGCAGTATTCAGATCACTAGTGAAAAAAGCTTTTATGCATTGTTCAAACATGTCAAACGCCAACAAAGAGCTGAAGTACTGTACATTACAGACATAGCTAGATGATGTGTTTCTGCTTTAGCCAAGCATTTTATAAAGAACAGGTCACACAATGTAAGCATTACAAACAATAGGAACCAGGCACTACAAGATACAAATAACAGGTGAATTGCAACATATTTCCACCCTAGCCTGATTGCTACGTACAAATAAGTAGTGTGTTATACCAAATGCTCAGCTTCAAACATAACCCTACAGTTTCAGCCTCCTTAAAAATACAAAAGATAATTACAATGTTAACAGATCACCGAGAGTCTACTCCATACCATCACATGACGGCAGATTTTGCAGTAGCCTCATATATATAGGATCCAGCAACAGGGCCTGGAAGCAAAGATTGGCCAAACATAAATATGACATTGCAATGAACAAGACAAGTATCACTTTAGCACAGTATGGGATGGAGCCCGAGGTGTCGGTACTATGGGAAGAGGCCAGATTAATTTAAAATATACTAAATGCAGATAAGCTGAGAACACTGAAAACATGGAAATTTATAAAAGTTCACAACAGGGAAGATGTATAAATAGTAAGGATGCTAAAGTGATTTCCAACACATGAAAAGTGATTGTAGACAATCCTATACATGGAGATATGTTTTAAGAACATACATACACAAATGGTTATATATACGACAATATGTTAAATTTATTATGTATTTTCTATGATAATTTATTGTGAAGTGTTAAATTTGTTAAGTGTTTGGAAGTTAATAATATAATTGAAAAAACAGATGGTTTAGTGAATTTAAATAGAACTTGTTCCAGAACATATTTTTTTTTTTTAAAGTGTTCTAAATTGAGAAGTCCAATTATAAAATCCCCAATAAAAAGCTTGACACTGCTTCTAAACAAGGCTGAAAATGTTTGCATTACATATATATAGAAATTGCTGGAAACATGAGAAAAGCTCAGTTTATTATCTATTTATGAATAGAAATACATAAATTTATAAAAAGTTTTAAATGGATTTTTGGTGAAAACTCTTATTAATAGTAATAATTTGGATAACTGCATAAATTCTTTGTTTCTTATTTAGTAAAATTAATTAGAAACTGATAAACAAAATTTAAGACTATTTTCTCATCTTGTTTCTCATGTCATCAGAACTGTATTTACAAAACAAATTCCAGATAATATTAAAACATTCATATCACATATCTATGACATCAGTTTAAATTTGAAATTATATTTAAACAGGCAATGACACATGCAAATAAATAATCCATATTATTTAAATAACAACTTTGTGCTCACAAAATGATTCATATTAAAAAACATATCTATCAAAGACCCTTAATTGAAATCCAGTGAGATTTAATTCAAAATAGACTTCTGGACTAATGTTTTCGATCTACAAATGGAGACAATTTCCAGTTCCATAATTCATATTATTAAGACAAAAAAATTCTAGAAAAAGATTATAATATGTAATGTATTTAAGCAATATACTTCTTATTTACAAAACTGAATCTGTTACAAGAATGATGAAATCAAAGAATGAGATTATGTTTACTTATTTTTATATTATCTTAATTTATCAAATAATATATTAAAAAAATTAAAATAGTTAAAGTAAAAGTCAACATTAAACTGAACCAAAATTAAAATTTATTTTACAAGCAAAATTAGCAATTTCTATAAGATAGCAAAAAGTTGTTTATTTTTTTCACAGAGTTATTATAGCTTAAAACTGATGAATATTCTGATGATTTTTCTCCTAACTTAATATTTTCTATGTATCAACTTATGAGAAAACATACTTTCTCTACTTTATCTTACACAGAAATATCTTATATATAAAACTGTACTTATCAATTTTACCTCTTTGAATCTGACAAAAACATCTTTTATTCTTTCATCTTGTACATCATCTTCATTAATAAGATTTTCTACAATTAAACTAAATGTTGCATCAAATTCTTCCATTTCTCTTTGATATAATTTTAAATCTTTTTCTTTAAGATATTCTTTTCTATAAGAAAACATAATAATAAAATATATGAATATATGATATAAAACATATAAGATTGAAATAAGACAATAAAAATATATATTATTATTATATTAGCTTAATGTTCCTAAATTAATGTTGTTTTCTATAATAAAGCAGGTGTATTTACTAATTGTGAGTTCACTGTTTGAAACTAATCATATGAGGACTAATATAGTTACAGTTTCATATGTAATTTATTACTAATTTTTCTGTCAGATATGCATTTTGGGTGCAGCCCTTCATCAGTCTGACCTGTGTATAATTCAACATTTTGTGTATATCTATATCCAGCAGTATTGAGAGTTTAAAAGTATGTTATAATATAAAAATAGAAAGTTTTTTGGTAAAAGTTGATTATGCATATTAAATACATAATAATAAACATCCTACACCTATACCACACAGGCAATCTAGGGTCTCTGGATATGGCCCAAATTTAAGTTTCAATATTCTTAGTATAGTAATGAGTTTATAAAAGATTGGTGTTGTCCCTTTAATAGGCAATAGCCTTTTTGCCCATTGGATAACGTGGATGATTTGAAATTAAAATTGTACAGTATCCCTCATACAACATGGTACTTCTACAACACTACTTACGAAAGTTGGAAATACATCACAAAGCGCATCTTAACTATATTACTTTAAGAAGAAAAATTAGTAACAAAATGCATCTGAAACGGTAACCATCTTAGTCCTTGTATGATTAATTCCAAACAGTGAACTCACAATTAGTAAATACAGCTACTTTATCATTGAAAACAATATATTTTGTCATAATAAATATATATATAAAAATATTTGCTATACTATATATAGAAATTTCATCTGGATCATGTGTAGGCTGTAAGAATATGAGGCTGTAAGAATGGATTGTCCAACCCAGTGATGCATTATAGACTCATAGGGCCCCAAGTAAATTTGAATTAGGAAACCTCATGTACCGTATTGACTTCAAACATTTTTGTTCGGAATCATGGTGATATCATGTAAGAAACATGATTGATTGATTTGAATCATTAACAAACTCTGCTGAGGAGAGTTCATTGAGGAACACATCTGTTAGATTTTGAATTTGTAACACATGCGTCTCAAAGGAGAGATGGTTGGCAAAGGATCACGCCATGTGGTGGACCTTGGATAGAGCTATGACTAGCATAGCCACTGATTGGTCGCCGACAACTGTCGACAACTATATAAGGTTGATGTGAAAGCGACAAATTCAAGTTTGAAATTGACATCGAAGTTTGGATCAAAATCTGGATCTGTCTCGCTAGCCAAAGAAAATGCCACAGCTAGACAACTATTCGTTGGTAAGGTGTCTTCTTGAAGGACAAGTACAGGAAACACAAACTATTGGAACTTCTTATTGTGTTATTGATGCACCAAATAGTTGCCAATTGTGAAACTGTTGAAATTCTGAACTTTACTTTCAGGGAATTTTGGGGGGAATCCCCATTCATTTTTTAATGCAACCTCTGCACTGTGCCAATGCATCCTACACCTATACCACACTGGCAATCTAGGGTCTCTGGATATGGCCCAAATTTAAGTTTCAATATTCTTAGTATAGTAATGAGTTTATAAAAGATTGGTGTTGTCCCTTTAATAGGCAATAGCCTTTTTGCCCATTGGATAACGTATCACTGATCTGATCAAAAAAAGTTGTCATGTTAAGAAAAAAGCAATTCCTATGACATTGATTTCTTCTTTCTCACTATGGAAAAGTGTACTAGTTTGGTCTGATAGTATTACATGCTAGTGGATGATTTGAAATTAAAATTGTACAGTATCCCTCATACAACATGGTACTTCTACAACACAATATCTCGGTACTCAAACAAACAATTTGATATTTGAACATAAATTCTAGAAAAAAGTTGCTCGGTATGTGTCCGAACAAACACGACCCACCAGAACAAATTTTTGATTAAAAACATATTTTTATTTTGTCATCCATAAAATTTTTTATGATAAAAATAAAAACACATGAAAATGTTGCTGATACTTCTGATCAAGATCAACAAAAAAGCTCAGAAAATGATGATACTTTATAAAAAGAAAATGCCCTCGTTTAATTAAAATGAATATTAACACATCATACAGTACTTTTAATTGTGATTGTTAATTAATTATCGATTGCATTAATAAACATATTTCTCTTAGTAACAAAAAAAAAAAAAAAAAAGTATACTTTTGCTAACTTCTGGAACGTAACCCTATGTTTTATATTAGTCTTTTGCTTTGTATAACATGGATTCGCATAACACGACACTTCGGAGCATAACTATCGTGTTATACGAAGGATACCTGTCTTTGTAACATTTGCAGCAAAAAGTACAGCCTTGGAATATAGCCAAATAATTTAAATTTGAAAATTATACTCTTCACCAGGGCTGTGGAGTCTCGTAAAAATCTACCGACTCCAACTCCAACTTTTCCTTACCATCCGACTCCAACCAGGGGCAGACTTGTTACCGAAAGAGACCTGGAAATTCTGATGTCATCACGTGACCTCAGAATAAAAGATTCAATAAATAGAGTTCTAATAAAGATAGAATGTAGAAACTTTTTATTCCAAAGCTAAAAGACTCCTCTAAGTAATATTTAAATATGTATTTGATAACTTTTACTTTTCCAGCTGTTATATATAACAGAGGAAAAGTGTAGCACTCGGTCAAAAAATGACCCTTTCCAAATTTTTACATTTTTGGACTCGGACACCTTGAAATTTCGAGATATGCAAAAGATTTGAGGTTTTTTTCTACATATGTAGATGTTAGATGTGTGTGGAGGGCATGATTTTGTTCACTCTGAAACCTAATAAATTCTGTGGTCAGAGTGGTTGGAATCGGAATCAGATGGTTTAACACAGGAGTTAATTATTAAGCATCAAAGTGGTTAAACTAAATCATGTCCCCATATACGTTCTAACATCTTAGGTGAGAACATCTTAATGGGTTTTACTGTACTATTATAAAATGGCTAAAAAGCTTACTTTGAGGGTAGAGACAAATTTTATTTTATTTTTCTTTTTTAATTTTGAATGCTAATAATGAGTAAAATATTCATTAAGAGATATGAAACGTGACCACTTTTATGTCTTCATCCTGTCGACCTTTAATTAAGAACCAAAATTTAATAGTATTAATGCCCCTTTATACACAAGCCACAGTGCCACATTTCGTTTCTTAAACTTTACCCATTCTAAGATATTGTTTAATTAATATCTCATAACAGAAAATAAAGAAGTTAAACAAATTAGATGCCAACATATACATGCACACGAATTTTTCCTCTGAATTTTTATTGACTTTTTGAGGGGTTCAAGAGGTCTCCAAACGTGTAGATTTGCAAAAAAAAAACCTGGAGGGTCAGATTTGACACAATTCCAATACTTTTCCGTTTTATATACATAAGAAGTTAGGAAGTAAAAAGGAGTCGGAGTCGGCGGATTTTTTGACAACTCCAGATAAAATACCAAAACTCCACAACTCCGACTCCACAGCCCTACTCTTCACACCACATTAATGGGTTAATGTGTATAACTTTATTCTACATTTTTATGTTATGGACTTTTTAAAATTTATTTAAACTATTTAAATTACTTAAGTTTTATAAATCTAGAATTATCAAGCTTAACTTTCTTCTTCACATAAAGACTGAATACTTTTTTGATCATAAAGTTACAGTAATTTTATTTACAATAACCATCAATAACATTGATTATCTTGATAACAATTATATAATTTTCTATTCAATTAATCTTAAAATTTCGTATTAAATGAATGACGTTGAATATTAGCATTTATTTTATATACAGGTCTATTAATTAATTAATTTAAAAAATATCCCCAACCTGTCAAGTCCAATGGTGAATGTTTGAGCTGTGGATTTTGTTCTGTAAGAATCTGTAACGTTAAAAGTCCAGACTTTCTTGTTACATTTTATCCAGCTTCTTGATTTTGAACACAATTTGGCAGTACGGTTAACAAGACGGCCAAAATTCATCATAGAAATTCCTGATGCCAACATCGTTTCCTGTTATCGTCGTATGTTTATGTTTTAAATACAATACATCTACATAACAAGATATAAAAATTGTTACCAAAATCGGTGAAACTTCTGCTTGTTATGAATAATTCACAAATTAAACTGAAGATGCATTAATTTAAAACCGCTATAATAATTATACTAATAGCCCACATGACACGATACCACGTGCACGTGTCAATATCACAATAAAACATTTAAAATAAATAAATAAATAAATAAAATTTAGGTTCAAAACTTTATAAATATATTTTATTAATATTATAAAAATTACGTAGTAAATAAATATTATAAATGTGTATACATTCCTTACGTATTATATAATCCAATAAAAAGTTTGAAATTAAATCTTACATCTTTATATCAAATTAAATAAATATAAATATAATAGCGTTAAATATAATTAATAAAATAATCTTATAAAATTAAAAATTCGACATGTTATAAAATGTAATTTATTTATTTATTTTTTTATTTTTGAAACTAAACAATGAACACACTTCATTAATGTGTTTTGCTTCATATTCACGCTAGATGTCGTTCATTCATTCAGACAAATGGCTGACTGAACGTACGAAGTGAAATGTGGATATGTTTATTCTTTTAATTAATTTAGTTAATTAATGTTTATTTACAAATTTAATATTGTTTAAATTATTGTAAAAGTTTATTTTTACGTAAATACGGTAATTTTTGTCGATTTTTAAACTTTTAAAATTACATTTCAGGTAAGAATCATCGTTAATAATTATAATCATGCTGTATAAATACGTCTTTTTCATTCGTGTTAAGCGGGCTTGAATTTCGTAATGCTAATATAATTGTACATTTGTGTCCATTGAGACGAAAATCATCAAGAAGAAAAGGGTTGAAATTGACATTATTTATTCAAATAATACAAAGGAAAACAGTTTATTTTCTAATAATATATATCTTTTAGGTCATTTTATATAAATATGAAAAGAATTATATGCTAATTTATTGTAGAAAAATGTCTAATTAGGTTATAAAGATATACTTTTGTTTTATAATCTAAAAAGCCTTTTAGGTAATTTGTTTGTTTATTTACATATATACAAAGTGGAAATATATTTGTATATATTTCTATTAAACTACCAAAAAAGGTAGTTTAATTGTTTTTCCATTTTCTTATTCGGATATTTAAACTTCTGACTGAATTCAATACATACAGTACGTATCATCGGAGAATGGGTTTTTGTATTGATACTTGTTACATTATATCTAATGATATTATAACTTTCATATTTTTTTACAGTAGTAATCATTGATAAAAATTTTGCTTATCAACAATATCTAGGAGAAGAAGAAATTTTAATAATTATCTATGCTGAATTATATATAATTACACGTAGATAGTGTAGAATTGTTTTCTTAAAATTAAAATAATTATCTTGTTTACATTCTAATTTTAAAAATTAAAAAAAAATGACAAAAAATAGTTATCATTAAGGATGTAATGAATATAAAAAAAATTACTGATAAAACGGATTGAGAAAGATGAAGTAAAATGAAGAAATTTCCGTTGAATTTGAGAAAAGTGAATCATTAAAAAAGGCTAGAGTCCAATCTACATCCTGTTAATTTTACATAGAAATATTTATTTGTAAGTAAATTCAAAATTAATTAATATAATAAGTTATAAAATTTATATTTTTATAAATGATGCTACTTTAATCAAGCAAAATTCTTATGAAATAAGAAAAAAAAAATTATTTCCACATTTAATCTCTCTTGTTGATTTATATAATCTCTTAACCTGCTTAATTTCAGAAATATATATATATTTTTTGAATAATTTTGTTTCTATCTTCATTCCTGATATTTATATTATAATTTTGAAATAATGATTAAAAAATTTTCTCTGTTTCTAAATATATATGACCTGAAATGATAATTATTTCAACTAGTTTTCTAAGTAGCTTTCTTAAAAGTAATTTGATTATGTTAAATATAAAATTACATGACTTTTGACAGATAGCTTTTATTTTTCATCTGCTTAATTTTCTTAAGATGAACGCTAGTAAATTCATATTTTNTTTATTAATTGATATTTTTATTAGAAACACATTTAGTAAAATATCACTGCTTGATATCAATATACAATAATTTAATAAAAATTTTATATGAATTTATGAAGTATTTTTAAAGGAGAAAAATAAGACAGTTAAATATAATTATTAAATTAATGCTATAATTATTGAAAAATAATAATAATGGAAACTTTTGAAGTCTTAAATTTCACTCAACAAGTACAATGTTGTCATTGTCATTTTTTTTTATACTTGTTTAAGTCATTCTGACAATAGTAGATCACATATCAAGGGAAATGAATGTAATGAAATTTATGTTGGGTGTGGTTCAGAAATGAAACATGAAAATGCATTTTTTGTTTTACATCATGTATAAAGAATGAAATAATTAATAGTATTTCAAGATCAAATTTACTGTCAATTCTTTTACATTATATTTTGTTTACCATACATTTTATTAGTTTATTAAAGAAAACACCATCTTGCAACGAAAAAAAGGTATCTCTGTCAATATTATCATTTTGTCATTAACCTGCTTATATTCAATATTATATAATTATCATAGTTTTATAAATATGGGTATTACATAAGATTTTAAATAGGATAAATGATGTTTTGCCCTTAAAATCATTTGTAATTATTTTGGCTATGTGAATAGCACAGGTTATTCTGTTCATTACAAATCTACTAAACACAGTTTTGTTGTCATTAATTTATCTAATTTCCTATTACAGTCCTTGTGCAATGAAAGGATGTGACTTTTCCCATTGTTTGTTATAATCTGATGAAATTAATTTAAAAATTGTTAATTTGTTGTATTCAAAACACAATTTGATATAATCTTGCATATGAAAAAATTAAAGAATTTCAATTATTAAGCTATATTTTATTTATTGCAGATAATAACAAATAACAAGAATGAACAACAAACAGGTAATTTCTGGGAATTTTTAGAAATTAATAGTTTATACTTTAGTCTATATTTAGAATCAAAAATACATTATTTTTAAAAAACTTGTATCATTTTATTTATTTGTTTATTTTCAATTAAAACTTGTTTGTATTTTTTTTTTTTACTGATAATTTAAAATGACAAACTTAACTTATTTATATAAATTTAAAAGTTTTAAACTTCTGTTAGATTACAAATTTAATAAGAATTTCTGTAAAAATGAATATATTTTCATAAATTAAATTTTATAAACATTTAAGGCAATATTGTTAATTTTTCATTTATTTGTTTTTTGATAAAATTTAAAAAGAAAACTGTATGTTATACATAATGTATGTCTTATGAAATTGTATGCTTTCCTATAGCTTAACTTGGATTAGCTGAAAATAGTTAATTTTTGGTTTCTTTCAAAAATTTCTTTTATTCGCAGTACTAAATTTTACTATTTTAAGTAGAAGTATTGACTTTCTCAAGTAGTTTATAAAAGAAAATGAATATTACTTTATTTTTTAAAATTTAACAGATGTCTGCAATACTTCATCAGAGAAAACTTGTCGACCAACTTCAAAGAGAAGCTTCCGTAAAAAGAATTAATGTGTCAATTGCAATTGAAGATCTTAAGGTGATCTTATATTACTGTATTTATAATTTAAAATAGTTGTGAAATATCTATTTAATATTTTGCTAATTTTATTTCACTTTTTACAGAAATATACCCAAGAACATCAAAACAGTGATTGTTTATTAGTGGGCTTCCACACTCAAAAAGCCAATCCTTTCAGAGAGAAGAGTTCTTGTATTTTGTTCTGATATTAATAGGAAATAATGCATACATACAAATATACATTCATTTCCATTCCCTCTATGCAGAAATACTAATTTAAGATACTTAGAAACATTCTGTTAGATATGGACATTAGATATAAAAAAAGAATATCATTTAATTAAAACTGAACATGTAACAATATATTATTAAAATTCAATATTGAAAGTCAGAAGTAATAAAATGCACTTATAAATTTTTACAACTTTCATAAATGTGGCATGACTTGTAAAAAAAAAAATGAAAAACAAAAAAATATATTTTATTGAGAGTTTTACACAAGATTTGTATAATGCTTTTAATAGAAAGTTTGTGTTGTACACTTTATAAATATGAAAAAAACTCAGTAAATAGTCATATTGTAATATTATTATTATTGAGAAATTGTATATTATTAGATGCTAGATATGTTGTTTGAGCATTTATACAACCAAGGAAAACATATCAATAGAAAGTTTTGCTTTTAAATTATTTAAGATTTCTACTAGTCCTGTTATTGCCAAATAACTGTTAAAATGTTAAGATATCTCATTTTCTACAGTACGGGTACTTGTATCTCATACCTTACTGTACACGCTAATTGCACTTACAATGCATCTATTATCCACAAGTGCACTTGCTTTTATTAAAAAAAAATGCACATTTTTAATTGAAATTAAAATTAATATAATATTAAATAAGATAGATGCCTATTATATTTTTATTATAATGAGGTTAAAGAATATGCATGAATTGCAAATATGTAAAACTTTGTTTTATATCACTATGTATTGATAATAAATTGGGACAAAAGAATAAAGAATTATCCCAACCAAAGAGAAAAGTTTTAATAATTTAATTTCCATATTTTTTATTCTTGTAAAAAGAAATGTAACTAATTGAAATTCATGTGCAGAAGACTTGGTATTAGATCAAATTGTGAAAATGTTATGGGCTAATTATTATTATAGTATATAATCTTATATATTATTGTTTAATATATTCATTATTTAACACACTTAATTTTTGATATTGTATATAGAATTAGAAATATGAAATTTAGATACATATTTTCTTTTCATTTATAATTAATAATAGATATAGCAGTTATGTTTTACTATTCATCCTAGTCCAAGTAGCATTATCTATAGTGGAAATATTTTAAATAAAATCAATAATCAGATTTAATGTTTAATAAATTTGACTTTTATAAGTGATTTTATGATTACTTTTACAATTATTAACACTTGCATTTGATTAAAAAATGAATACATTGCATTAAATTTGAATGTTTTCAAAATTGTTCATTTATAAATAACAATTATAAGTGAAAAGTTGAAAAATAATTGAAGTTGTG